AAGACCCCCCTCCCTAAAAAAAAAAAAAAAAAAAAAAAAATCCAAAAGCTGAGATAGGGACTCAGTGGTAGTATGCCTAGCATGTATAAGGCTCTGGGTTCAACCCCCAGCACTGAAGAAAAGGAGAAATTTATTATTATTATTATTATTATTATTATTATTATTATTATTATTCACTGCCATAGACTCACACACAAAAATCTTAAAGGGACTACTTCAGGCAGAAGAAAATGAATACCAAAGGTAAATAAAGATCCACACATAAAAGAATAAAGAATGGCAGAGTGGGAACTACATGGATAAATGCTTACAGTTCTTTCCAAAATTCTTGTTATGAAGGGGATAAGGAAGACGAGGGAGTGTGTGTGTGTGTGTGTGTGTGTGTGTGTGTGTGTGTGTGTGTATAAAGAACTAAGAGAGGTTTTTATTTGTGTTTTTAGGACATAGGAACAATTTGAGGATATATAACACCAATGGAAAAAGAGGCAAGGAGGGACAGGCGACAATGTTAGGCAGCAAGTGAGTCTGGTCAAGCACTTCTGTGACTACAACAGAGAGAAGGGCCAGGGTGCCCAGGCAAGGAACTTTGGCAGTTTGGTGGGAAACAGGGTCACACTGGTGCTCCGTCTATAGCCTTTAGTTGATGAGCATAAACAAGTTTGCTGCGCAGGAAAAGAAATCAGAGAGTTGGAGAAGAAAGAAAGGTGCCAGGTTTGGGGGTCAACCCTATACCAAAACACCCCAGCTCCATGGAGATCTGCCCTTACTAACCTAGTCAACATTCTAGATCCCCTAAGTAAATAGAGAATGATAAAACTGAATCTCCAGAAGAAAAATCTCAGGTACATTTTTTTCTTTTGTTTTTGGTACTGGGGATTGAACCTAGGGGCACAACCCCAGCCCCTTTTTTTTATTATTATTATTTTTATTTTGAGACAAGGTCTTGCTAAGTTTCTATGCCTTGTTAAATTGCTGAGGCTGGCCTTGAACTTGCAATCCTCCTGCCTCAGCCTCCCTAAACACTGGGATTACAGACAGGTGTGTGCCACCGCACCTGGCTCAGGAGACAATTTAGCCTCCAGGTAAAATTCCAACATGCCTATAATCCCAACATCCTGGGAAACTGAGGTAGAAGGATGGTAAGTTTAAGACCAGCCTGGGCAACTTAGCAAGACTCTACTTCAAGATAAAGAAAAAAAAAATTTTAATTTCTTTTTAAAAGGGCTGGGGATGTTTTTAGTACCACAAAAAAACAACAACAATAAAAAACTTGAACACTATGCCAACAGGGACAATTTAGAATCCAGATCTTTCTGATCATCCTCAGATAGATGTTCCCAGCAGAAAATCAACAGAGAATCTCAGTGATGCCCAGAGTTGGTATTTTGAGTTCAGGAATACAACCCCTTTCCTCCATGAAGATATATGTGTACATAGTTCAAATTAGGAACAACAGCAATCTTACATTGTCATTTAGCTATTAGGAAGAAAAGAAACAATGATGGATGAGTGCAGTGGCCCACATCTATAATCCCAACTACTCCAGAAACTGAAGCACGAGGATCCAAAGTTCAAGGCCAAGGCCAACCTGGGCAACTTAACTAGACCCTGTCTCAAAATTTAAAAAACAGGCCCCACATGACATGGCTCTGTCTGTACTCCCAGTCCCTGTTTTGTCTGGTTCATCACTGAACCTTCAGAGCCCAACTATGTCTGGCAGTAAGAATCTGCTGGCTGAATGCCTGGTGACTGGTTGGCAGGGGTCTTGAGGCCAGGAGTTCACTCCGATCCTTCGGCACCTGGGCAGCATTGCCGCTCCAGATGCTAATCTGCCAGTGGTGCTCTCTACAGAGAAAGGCCTTAGGTTTTCAGCCACTCTGGGAAGGAACCAGCTGGTGAAGTTTCCTCTGTTCTCACCCTACTCATGAGCAGTCCACGATGACCAGTGGTCCACCCCATGGCTGGTATCATCCTCAGGATCTGCATGAATGTGACCCCGACTACAAGATGGGCTCACGTTGACTTCAACAACAAGTCAGTCCCCTGAGTTAGCCAAGGATTCTGCCAGGAAACAACACATTTAACTTGGGCAACTTGAAGGACTGAGAAAGGGGGCTGGGGTTGTGGCTCAGTGGTAGAGCGCTGCCTAGCACATGTGAGGCACTGGGTTCGATTCTCAGCAACACATAAAATAAACAAATAAATAAATAAAATAAAGATATTGTGTCCAATTACAACTAAAAAAAATTTATCAAGGGCTGGGGATGTGGCTCAAGCAGTAGCGCACTTGCCTAGAGTGCGTGCGGCCCGGGTTCGATCCTCAGCACCACATACAAATGAAGATGTTGTGTCCACCAAGAACTAAGAAAAAATAAATAAATATTAAAATTCTCTCTCTCTCTGTCCCCCTCTCTCACTCTCTCTTTAAAAAAAAAAAAAATTTATCAACAAAAGAAAAAAGAACTGAATAAGGGACCACAAATATGTGGGCTCAGTATAGAGACTAAAGCAGTGACAAGGAACTCCAAGGCCAGGAACAGTGGAGGGGAAGGCAATCACTGACTTTACCGGTCCAGAGGCAAAAGCAGTTACAGAACCTGGAAGAACACATGTAGCTCAGAGAAGGCAGCTTTCTAACACGGTGGCCTTTCAGTCAGGGGACACAGCCCGCCTGGGCTAACCCCTGAGGGAGACAGCTAAGAAAATCAACATACTGACCTCACTTTCTCCCACCCCCTCCAACCCAAAGGCAAGAGACCAGCTGTTTTCCTACACATGCCTTCATACCTCTGAGGCTAGTGGCTAAGTGTACTGGGAATACAGAGATTTGGCTGTGAGGTCAGGCAGACATGGGCTTGTCTCATGTGACTCCTTAATTTCTGACTATATGACTTTAGCAAAGGACTTACCGGCTCTTGAGTCTCCGTTTACTCATCTATAAAATGGGAACAATAACATCTACTGCATAATATTTAAAGATTAAATAACACTTTGCACTAAGCACAGTACCTGGCACACAATGAGTGCTTTCATTAATGGTAAAGGTGTGACTGTACCTCTCCCTTCCCCTGGCTCAGCAACAATCAGCTGCCCTGCCTCTGTTTTTATTAAGGTGTGAATGAAAAGCAAGGCCAAAGGTCTGGACTGTGAGGAGGCGGTCAGAAGAGCAATAAGACTAAAGCCTCCATTACCCACTCTAGCTATCGTCCAGGGTGACTGCCTTCCCCCACTTAAAGGGGCTCCCTGCAAGCCTGACTTTGGTGGTCTCCAGTAGTTTTTCTAGTCTGTCCTTTATGGAGGCACCTGAGGCTTCCCTAGAAAGTGGTCCAGCAGAATGAACTCCAGCGTGGGCTTTGAAGTCGGAGACAGGTTCTGTGTGCAGAGATGCAAACTTGGGCAGATTGCTTGGCCTCTTTCATCTCAACAGTAAAATGGAGATGTTAATGAAACCATGTCGTAGGGTTGGTGGGAGGACTAAATGGGATAAAGGTGCACAGCACTAGGCACGGTTCCTGGCTTCTAAGAAAGGCCTTAATAAACGTCAGCTATTCGTTATGATGATGGCTATGAATAATAAAGAGCTCATAGCAAGAGGGTACACCTCGATAGGCGTTTAATACACAATTCCTCCTGACGGGGTCACTGCCGGCGATCCCCGCCCGCCATCCCCTGCCCCGGACCACTGACGGGCAGGGAGCGGGGGGGAACCAGGTCCCGAGCAGCGCACAGCAGGGCGAGCATCGCGGGCCTTGGCGCAGGTAAAGAGCGCCTCCCGGGCACACCTCCTTCTCGCCCCGCTTTTACACACCACCGCCTGCCGCCCTGGTCACTGTCCCGGCCCGAACTCACCTTCCAGGCCGCGGGCCGGAAGCCCCAACAGCCACAGCACTACCTGCCACCAGCAGAGGAGCCGCATAGTGCGGGGCGGTGGACGGCGGTGACCACCCCTGCCGAAGGGCAACCGGCGCACAGCGACGCGAGTCACGCTAGCGCGGGAGGAAGCCTGGGGGAGAAGAGTCGGGATCGCGGGCGCGGCCCCGCGCCGCCATCTTGGCGTCTGGCGGCTGCCGGGGGCGCCATCTTGGAGTCGGGCGGATAGCTTCTGGCCGCTGATGTATGACTGGCATTCCAGGCCCAGCCCCAGATGCCGCAGGTCTTTTTCAGTTCTCCTGACCCCGAAGTCCAGAGGAGGGCTCCAGCAGAGGTCTGTGCTCCCATTCGTTGCGTGCAAGTCAGCACCTGTGTGGGCAGCAGGCACTTCTCCAGCCCGAGGAGATTCCACCCTGCGTTTCCAAAGACAGGCCCTGAAATCGCCTTCAGGCACCTTGTGGAGAGGCAGGACCTTTGGAAGCTGCAGATCGTCAAATCTCTTACTTTACACGCTACTCTAGCAAGGGTTGCCAACTAGAATCAGGATAAACCCAGTGAAATTAGAATTTCACATTAACTTAGAAATGTCTAAAGGACAATTCTTATAACTGAATATGCTACATTTGTGGTCTTAGTCGTACCTGTTTGCTCAAGGTAGGAGTCTTTTGTTGGTTCATTTTAACTAAGGTAGGGTCTCAGAAAACAATTCCCCAAGTATGGCACTCTGGCATGCTGAGTCTTTTGAACTGAGAGACATTGGAAGGCCTCTTCAGAAGCAGCCTCAGAACCAAGGTCTCTCCCTTACCCCCAAGCAAGCCATAGAAATGTTGACGAACAGCCCAGGGGGCTTTTACTCCAAGAGAGAAGTTACAGAGAGGCAAATCATACCAAAGCAATGAGGCTTTATTAGGGCTTGTACTTGAATTAGAGAGAAACAGCACCGCGGATAGGGTTCCTGGACCCGCTTTTAAAAGAGATATCAGGCAAAGTTTTTATGGGTTGGTGGTTGTGTGTGCAGGCCACACTACTGTTGTTGCCTACTGTTCAGGATTTCTACACACGTTTCATCTGATCTTTTCTCTAGGCACCGTGGATCAGGTCTACACTGGCATGGTGATTGGTTATTGGCTCATGCATGTTGGGTCTGCTCATCTGGAAGATAGCGAAGGCTCATTACTGTCATCCCAGGAAGATCATACAACAGATAATATAGCTGTCCAGAGGCTGCTGGAAAACCTCTTTACAAGCTTTAAAGAAGGCAGGTAGTGTAAATTCAGCCAAATTAGCTTCTGAAAAACAGACAACATGATTGGGAACTTGACAGTTTCTTATTCTCATTTGCCCTGAGACATTTTATTCTCCTTAATCTTAAGGAGTCATGAACAAAAGTATCTTTAGCTCTTTCTTGCTGACTGAGGACATCGAACCTCTGGTAACTGGAGGTGGAAAAATCTCTTGCTGGCTATTCTAATGGCAAATAAAGTCCCAATTCCTCTTTTGAAGGTATTTGTTGAAAACCTTACATCATCTTCAGTTTGACCTGAAGCTGCTATAACCTCAAGGAAATAAATTTAACCAAGAGGTTTATAACATAAGGACCAAACAAAGAACATTAACAGTAAGAAAATTAACAGAGGTCGAAGAAAGGATAGAGACCACGTTATTATGCCAGGTACAGCATCCCTTACAGCTTTCCTGTAAACCCACTGGGTCTGATCACATATCCTTTTAATGTTTACCTCAACTTGTCCTAAGTACAAGTATTTATCAAAATACAGCAGAAAGTACTAGTGACAGGACATGCCACCCTGTTCTACCAGGAGATAATCTAGTGCTAGACTGTTGTCAAGAACCAAATTTGCTAAGAAATTAAGGAAACTTTAGTCCTGTAATAGTCTCATGGGTGTTTGGGTGATTATTTCAATTGTGGTTAGATTGTGCAGGGTAGTTTCACGATTGGCCAACCCTCCCCATGGTGCATCCATACCTACTGTGACCCTTTTGCCTGCCAAGATAAGGCTTATAGCCTCCTTATTACAATATAAAAGAAGTGGGTTTGGGTAAAATATGGAGATTTCTGAGGGAGCAAGAAATCCCAGAGTGTAATCACTTTTGAGCCACAGGTCATCAGTATAATCATAGGCTAGAGTCTCATCAAGGAAGGAGGTGGTAGAGTTTGTGGCCAGGTGGGTATTTGCAGGGAGGCGGCATAGCCAGACCTTGCCATGGGGTGCACGACTAGAAAGAACAGTTGAATTATTCCTGGCCTCTAGGTCTCTGTGTACCCATGATACTGGGGGAAGAGAGCATGGCCTTGTTAATGGGCCATGAACTTCCACAAGGATATTGTTCAGCCAAAGAGCTTTGGAAATGATTTAGTAAGTAAATGTCTCCAAGCAATGTGTGTCACTGAATAGTTCTGAATTTTGCTCCTTGTCAGGGAGTCTTAATGCAGGGGCCTGGACAAGCTTTGAGGACTTCGATGCCTTCTAGTAATCTTCATCTCAGCAGAGGGTCTGCCATGCGACCAACGCGAGCTTCATAAAAGAAGGTTCGATGCATAAAAATTGCTAGTGAGTTTTAAATTAAAGAGACAGACTCTCATTTACCTTTATTCCCAGCTCCGAGACAGCTTCTCCT